TCTGTCAAGAATTACAATCTCGGAAACCCACAGGCGCAGTTCTACCCTCTTCCACAGGGCTGCTATGTCAGCACTGAGTTGATGGAACTGAGTCTGGGTTTGATTCATGGGATAGTTGTGAGGATGAAGTGACAGCATATAAAGCACAAAATACACGTGAACTGTTGTTAGAAATACTAGTCCGTGCAAGCCCCCATGCTAGATGTTCAGAGAGAAAAAAAGTAACAAGAGATACAGTCCCGATGCTTACATGGTTTGCTACCTAATTGAGAGCCAAAGTAACAGTTCTAAATAAAATTAACCATCAGTATCTGAGCGGAAAGGCAACTGTTCAGTTTCACAGCCACACACAGAGGAAAGATGGTAGAAGCCAGAGGGACTGAGTGACGTGGGGGCCAGAGGAGTATCCCTCTACAAAATGCTCTTCTCACAGTTATTCTCACATGTGTTCCCTTCAGCTGGTGATTATCTCTGCTCCATAATCTGCTCATGGCAGATTGTATATTAAACCCCACAGGCAGTGGCCCAGCCTCTGCTAATCCTGCAGGGTTTTAGTCATGGGTGAGCGTTACGTGATGTAGATGCTGATGGGGAATTAAGGCTCTTGATAACAGAGGTGGGTTGAGCTGTGAGTGCTCTGAGAATTGGGCCAACTCAATGTCTGTAGTTTTTCCAGGATGGTATTTTCAGTGGAATTTTGGCCTTTTGTGAAATATGCAGAGAGCTCCAGACTTAAGAGGTTATCCAGCTTACGTGGTAATTCTGTACAAGAACTGGAACACACTCTGCTTGTCTAATTGGGAATCAATAGTACAGGTCACACATGCTTCATTAGATCTGGGACAGAGCCCCTTATTGTGGTCTCGGGTACTCATGGGAGGCCATGGGAAGCAGTGATTATGAAGAGCAAGAATTGGAGGTCACCCACCACCATGGAGTCCCTTCTGAGCCATAGAAACCCTCTATATCAGTGGTTCTCAACCTTCATCATGCCTTGATCCTTTCATACAGTTCCTCAAGTTGTGGTGACCCCCCCCAACCATAACATTATTTTTATTGCTACTTCATTACTGTAATTTTGCTAGTGTTATGAATAGGGTGACACCTGTGAAAAGGTCGTTTCC